TCGATTTTATTATACTTCATGTATTAAGACTATACTGAAGAATTTAGCCATCAATATAATTCGCGAGGACTTCAGTAATTGTAGATAATAACAGGAGTGTCAGTCCCCTCGTTGCTTGATGAAAAGTAAAAATCAACAAAAAAATCATACATTAAACTTACCCGTAATTCTTGCTACTTTGCCTTCCAAATTTCTTCCAGTCACTCCAGCAACATGAGCTCCAAGATTGAAACCAACAATGTGCACCTTATTAAGTGGTAATTTGAGATTTTTCAAAAAAGTAGCGATACTTGATCCCACACCTGTCACAGCCATCACTGCCGTTGAATATGTTGATAAACTGAATGATGACCAATCCACAACGATAACGTTATAATCGCCACTTGTTAAAAATGCTGAAAGCAAATTTCGAACATTAGAACATTTTATTATTACTCGATAGTTGACCGATGACCTAGTGTGCACGGCGTGAAGTCGTTGGATGCGGAAGGCGGAGGACCGCATTATGTGGAAGGCATTGGGGAAGGCCTATGTCCAGCAGTTGGCAGATAAAGGCTGATGATGATGATGATAGTTGAGTTAACTTTCTAGTTCGTTTTTGCATTGTAATTTCTATTTGTAAATTAATATAGACTGTTCATTATATAATCAACAGATTGATGAAGCCAACTTCAGCAGACTTAATTCTTCATTCCTCGTTCCTGGCTTGTAGTCAATTTTAATTTTATTAAAAAGTTAAATCTTTGCTCACCGTCTTTAACAATAGGGTTGATCGTCGTCGTAGCAGTGCCACTGTGACCGTGTATTATTACGACAATATTCCAATTATTGTTAAAGCGCGCAGCAGTATCGTTTCCAGTGGGAAAGTGGTCTTCGGTGAGTGTAATCGAATTTCTCTGTGCATTGCTGTGTAAAATAGATATAATATTGTTTAAAGCATATATGTATATACATAAGATATATCACACAACTCGTTTAGAGAAATACAAAAAAAACTCACCTATAGTAATAATATTTATTTAAACTTCCAAATCGCTCCAAGTTTTGAATGGCATCTCCGTTGCAAGCTAAAAAGAAGATAATAATTAATTAGAACACATTAATGATACACGAGCCTTTTGTTTTTAAGGAGTATGATTTCGAGTGATGCATAGAGAAACCAGATTGCCAAACTACACATAGGACCTCTTGGGAGTCCGCACGGGTAGGTACCACCACCCCACCTATTTCCGCCGTGAAGCAGTAATGCGTTTCGGTTCGAAAGGTGGGGTAGCCGTTGTAACTATACTGAGATCTTAGAACTTATATCTCGAGGTGGGTGGCGCATTTACATTGCAGATGTCTATGGGCTCCAGTAACTACTTAACACCAGGTGGGCTGTGAGCTCGTCCATCCATCTAAGCAATAAAAAAATAAAAAAATTATAATAGTACACTTTTACAAGTTTGATTTGTATCTATTAGTTATAATTATCTATTTGTGTACTATAATCAGAACGTAGTTGTTACCAACTTCAAGATTTTTGATTAACTTACACAAATCAAGAACCGATAAGAATACAATCATTTCATTTGGCCGAATATACTGAACGGGATAAAATAAAGATTATTTTACTTTTTAAATAGGCTTAATATTAAAGCATGTATTTTTTTGTTAAGTTAGTAAACTGTTTTCTTAATATTATTCGTAAAAGGGTAAAAAAGTTTTCCTTTATTCATATTTTATGGATAGTAAATGGCTTAATGAATATTTCATTGTTACAATTACAGTATTTATCTCTGACAATCAGTATTTTCAAATAAAAGTTACTCACCGGCAAATGCAAAGGCCAACAAAGTAATCAGTTTCAACATTTTTCGCGTCTTCACGAAATGTGTTTGTGCAATTTTCGATTTAAAATGCCTTTATAAAGCGATCGTGATCGATGTCACTAAGTTAGATAAATATGATATTAAGATCTTAGTTCCGATAAAGTTTGTTAACGGTACATCAAAAGGAACGTATTTTAAATAGCGTGTAGATAAGAAGGTATTGTAAAATAGGGCAATAGTAATTTTAATTACAACAAAAAATAAAAAAATATGTTTGTTTTTACATTTCCAAATTTTCAAAAAATTTAAGAATAGGCTTAATATTTACACTAACCCATCTCTTCCCGTGCGTGAGTAAAAGGAAGGTATTCACTGGAAAATCAAGGCTGAGTTAGAAATGTTGAGATTCTATGTTGCACTCACACTTGCGACTACGGACGAAACCATTAATGAATACAAACGGAATCAAGCCAGAAATGCCGTCAAGCAGAGTAATGGAAGATAGATCAAAATGTTGATGGATCGGCACCGTAGTTATGAGAAACAGCGACTATTGTAAGAGCTCGAGTCGCAGGACTGAAGCGAGAGACGATTATAGATAGGGTTAAAATTATGAATGTCTTAATTGTAATTCAATTGTTTTATAAATCTATAATTGGTGATGTTTAAATTATATTTTCGTTCATTTGGACAAATAAAATAAATAATTCCACACAGATCTATTACGCGCTCCGCCCTCTCCTTCTAGAAGATTACGGACTTGCAGAACTTGTGCTTTGCATTCCTTGTCTCGTCACTGCCTAGCATCACAGCTGATGCTTTTACACAATTTATGTTAATACACATGATATAATACAATTTTAAATTGGAATTAAAACGCACTAATACTACACATTGAACGGCCGTCTGGTGTAGTGGTAAGTGACATGGTCACTACACATGGGGGTCGCGGGTTCGAATCCCGCCAAGGGAAGATATTTGTATGATAAATATAAATGTCTTTTCCAGGGTTATGGATGTATATTAAATATATGTATGTGTATAATAAAAATCTTACATTTATTTCCGTTATCTGGTACCTGTAACACAAGTTCTTTACGAACTTATCACGGAACCAGTTAACGTGGCGTGATTGTTAGTAAATATTTATATTATATTTATTTATATTACAGCGTCAGTTACGCCGCATGTCGTATTCAAGTATATTAGGTCAAAAAGTTGGCAATAATTTTGACTATCCCGTCCAACTAGTTTAAAATATGAGGTCAGCTTACTAACCCCAAATTGTTGCCAAGCAGTACAATGTAAGTAAATTAAGCAAATCTGTAATTTCTAATGTAAATCTGAAAGGAGCTACAGTAAATAAAATGTAAATCATAATTTGAATAATATTTTGATTAGCCGATCAAATTAGTATTAGATCTACCAGACGTGAAAAAAAAAACGTGAAAGGTTCCTTCTGGTAAAAGATAAGAGTAAACAATTCGGATGGTTTAACATAATATGCAGTTCAGATTGGCTTTCTGTTTAAAAATCTTGTAGTTTATGTAGACTATAGCCAATTCTTACAATAATACCACTATCGTTTTTCAAACGGAAACGAGAGAAGAAGGGAATTCGTATGTAATTTGATATCTTGATTTATCTACGATAATATGAGTGGAACGTGTTTATTTTCATGTTTTTTTTTTTATCACTCAGCTTCTATCGAAGTTAGGAGGCGTGAAAAAAGTGGTCATGAAATTAGGTAATTCCCCAGAGACCTGGCATGAGGAAGTCCAAAAACTTTAGAATTCATCTTATCTTATCTAATAACCAACCGGTATCTTTTAATCAAAAGCAATTAGTTTTTAACGCATCGTCCACCGCAGTTTCACTCATATTGAGACAAAATCACAACGCCTTACAGTTATTGAAACAGGTATTGATGAAAATAGTGTCCTAAGTTTATTTTCTGAAAAACGGGTATGAAGACATAGTCCGAAAAATACTATTAAGAACAGAAAATGGTAACAAAATTAGGATTGCAATCTAGACATTTGGTGTTTCCAGATATATCTATCTTCGTCGCTAAAGAAAAAATCTTTTGAAATACGAAAAACACTTATTATTGAAAAAAATATTCAATTGTAATTTTTTTGATCGACCTTATGACACCTGTTTTTAATTTTCAAAATATTTTCAATAGCAATTATAATTAAAATAATGTAGGATTAGCTATCTTGAAGATCAAAGATAATCAATAGCAATCAGTTCATTCTTGGATAAGAAATGACAAATTCAAGTTTATGCTCTCTCATTCTAGAAATCAGTGATTTGTAATGGACGATTGTGAAAATAATCAAGCCTGCACTGATGAACGTATAATTGTTATATCGTCTTTATGCCTTCAAATGTTGAACAACTTACGGCCTAAATGAAGTGAAATTATTACTTATTTTTTACATTCAAAGTATTCTTCTCGGTTTTTCATTACATTTTTAGCGGTAGGCAGTGGCTTGGCTCTGCCCCTGGCATTACTGAAGTCCATGGGCGACGGTAACCACTCACCATCGGGTGGGCCGTATGCTCGTCTGCCGAAACGCATTACTGATTCACGGCAGAAATAGGCGAGCTGGTGGTACCTACCCGTGCGGACTCGCAAGAGCGTATGCGTACAGTATGCGTGTATATGTAACATAAAAATGATTAAGAACTTCTTAAATTTCACTTTAATGGGGATGAGAAGAGGACGACCTGGTGCGAAGTGGTTAGTTAAGCTTAATATACCACGATGCGTATGATGCCAACTTCTACCCTCAGATCTATCTGATTTTAGAGATACGATAACCGATTTGTCTTTGTGATTTTACTTAACAATAAATCAACAAACCAATTAGTTAAGAGCGACAGAATCAACTCTTCATCTCGGCTATGTGTAACTTGGTTTTTTTTTCAGAATTGCAAATGGAACACGTTCAAAATCTCGGGCGTTTGTCTAATTACACACCAAATTGACATTTAATACAAAATACCTTTATGGTCCCAGTGTCAGGCAAAAATCTGAACAAAATTGTTCAAAATTTCAATTATGTTGCATTTATTTTTTAATTACAATTAATACACAGTGCTCTTATTACATAGCGCATGCGTGTCAAAGGTTAGCAGACGTTTCATGTTCGCTGATTCAACCGTAGTACCACAGCGGAATTCATTTCAAATTGACGCATCAAACAGGCCGGGCCTCCCTTACGGCCGCGTAAAAGTTTGCTCAGACTTTCTGAGCACAACCGTGTTTCCTCTACAAAAGTTATCTATGAGTTTTTTGTGAGGTGAAGACGGCAAAATGCGTTGGTTCGTAGCGACTGTCATCTCTATCGTCTTAGTTAGCTCGGGTAAGTCATTTTACTTTTTTATTTATTTATTTGCTATGGTTTTTAAAGAATTGTCATCTATTTTTATAAAAAGACGTGTTTTCTTTCAAAACAAAGTACTCCCGATAAGATTTTAATTGCTTTTTTTACAATAAATTTAATTTAGCATATAAGAATAACTTAATTCGATGTTACCGTGTATTTTCTAAGATCGTGTTTACGTTTCTGAATGGTATTTACAATACGTCATTTTTTCGATTCGCAAAGTGAATATAAATATTTTTCTTCTACTTCGTTGACCTCAATTACGTGGAGTGGAATCCTTAATCAAATATATCGTTGGCAGAATCAATAACAAGATTCTGATACACGATATCCGTCATAATTCTCATCACGTACGATTTCTTTTTCGTTTTGGGAAAATCGAGAACGATCCATGATTTAATACATATGTACACTGATGTGTTTATATCATGACTACTATTATGAATGAACCAATTTTCCTTGTTATATATTAGAACTTTGAAAATAAATTTGTATTACTTTTCACCTTTGATATACTAGAGAATCATATGAACTAATGATAAAACTAGAAACAATACGTAATATTATTCGATAGATATTAAATTGATGATTAAATTATCAATACACTCACTAAAGACAGAAGAGTTTATTTTCGAATTAATTTAATTTTGAATTATGGTTATGGTGAGTGAAAGAAATGCCGACATTGTCTCTGATGTGCCTGCTTAATTGACAGGTCAACCGGTGTGTCAATTATAGTTCGTTCAACTAATGAGGTTACGCACCAATAAATGTTATGGTTAATGACGCTACGGCTCTATAAATACGACATTGTACAGAGGTAGTTTTGATGGAAACTCAAACAGCAGCATTACATAATACATACGAGTGTTATTTATGGCTGAAAAACTAAAATAGGATGGTTTTTATAATATAACAAACGTCACTCGTTATGTAATATATACATTTAGATGAGTTGAATAAATAAATTGGCAGATAACCACGAGAACAAATATTAAAAAAAAAAATAATAGTATTCTATACTACAATAGAAGATAGTACATAAGAAAATTTTGCTTATTCGGGTAAATAGGCACCTAAGCTGACGACGGTTGAGCTATCATCAAACAGGAGCTGATTGAATCTACACAATAAATGTGGTTGTCCACCTTATTCACAATTGTAAATGAAAACGAGTACCATACAAAGTAAATATTGTTTTGGATTTCGATATTAAAGGTATATATTTTTTGTCCACACTGCTCAATTCACTTTTGTGTTCCAGTGTCAGAATTGAATTAAATCTTATACATTTAAATCATTTTTTATATCTCACAAACATCATCATGTTCGGTTGCTTTTGGCAGAGCAGTCGTGGTCATGTGGAATTCTTGCTTATTAAAGCCTTGATAGATGTTTTTCATAGTTTGCGAACCGAGGCCCAGCGCACGCACTCTTTAAGTGGGGTTTCCGTAAGGTCTTTCACCTGATCAGTCAAGCGCACGGAGATTCGTAAATATAGTAAAAAAATTCAAAGTTCCTTAATCAACTATACACTTTTGTGTGTTCTCATTGTATTTGTGTACTTTTGTTAAGTTTCCCATTCTTTGTGAATGAGAATTTTTATCCGCATGTTATTTTGAACATCACATTCGTTTTGTTCTAGAATGTCATTACATAACAGTAACAATATAAATATCACGAAAATAAGCATACATTCAGTTAATTAAAATTCTGTTATCTTACCTTATTTACAAAGCAATCAAATAACCGAGAATATTTCGTTTAATTTTCACCACTGTTTGATATTAATCCACTGAAACGATGACATAAAGTTTTCAATTTATATAAGCGCTTATATCAACAAAGTGCTTCCAATACCAAATTTACTAAAAGCCCACAAATTATTCGTAAAACTCTGTTAGAAAGTTGCTAATTAAACTAAGATGGTACGGTTGACAACAATTATTTTCTTTGATCCATAAACCATACATTATTTCCATTGTATGTATATGCTTGATTCATGGGTTTCTTATTTGGTGTGATAGATAGTCTTATGATTCGGGTGAACAGCGGCTCCCAAAGACGATACACATCATGAATATCGCTACTACTCTTAAGGCATAATAACAGCTTGAGTATATTTTAAAAACAAATATGCTGTAATGGGTGAAGTAGCTCATGGCCCATTCGGTATTAAGTGAGTGCTGAAGACCAGGGATATCATATATACAGACCATGAGATGGGAGGTCAAAATCTCAATTGTATCTGTGTAGTGGCTATCCCATCACACAGCTGGCATAGAAACACATGACTACTTCGCGGCGGAAATATAGAATGCTTAATATGTACCCAAGCGGGCTTAAAATACTCTAGCACTAAACCCTAAACCACCATTCTAACTAGTACCCTTAGACTTTATCAAAAAAAATTGATTTAAAACTTCCTGGGTAATGATTGCAAATTTTCAGTCATATACTTAAAGATAACATATGAAAATACACAAAATTGGAATATTAGATTTTTTTACAGGCTAGAAGATAAATGAAAATTTCCCCAGATGAATTTAAGCTTATACATTCTACTTATATGGAATTCGATTATGTCAATTAATAAGGTTGTTGAACGATGCTTTGCGAGGCTTCCAGGGAATTAGCTTGGACATGATATTTTCCCATCAGTTGTAAAATGGGAGTGGCGGCCAGGCCCTATAGTAGTGGCAAGGATAATGCCCTATTTCAGGGCGAGTCAACGGAACTTTGCGCGTACCTACTACATTAGTAGAGACCGACCGTAATTGACAATTTTGTATCCATCCATTTGCATAGTTTTGTGCGAATTAATTTTCAAGCCTTTATTAAAACTATTTTTGTGTTTCTCCGTTTGCCTTTCAAAGAGTTAAGAATGTGTTAAATTTTATAATAATGCGCAGCTTAATGACACGCTTATTTTTAAATTTTATAATTTTCGAATACTTTTTCCTGTTCTGTTTTATCCTCACCTATGTTACTGGAGTTTTTTTTTACTATTCATCTTTAATTTCTCATTAAAATGATTGAGAGGAAGAAGATTTAGAACGAATTTGTAATAAATTGATTCAACTATAATTTTGTAGTCATTATATGAATCGACATACTTTTTTATTTATAAAATATACAATTATTAAAAAAAAACATATGAAACCGCGTGTCCCACTCTATAACTAATGACTCAATGTCACCAAAAGATCGGTACACGTTTTTGTAAACGTTATTCTTAATTCATGGAATTACTGGCAGCGAACGAACCAGGGTCAAATTTATCTCATTTCAATGCGGCTACTAATTGGTGACGTTGAATGAACTCGACTACATACGTTGTCCCTTTATTTCCTTAATAAAATAAAATTCAATGCTATCAATTGTAAGGGTTGATGACACTTAGATAGCTCTCGCATGTATTAATAAATCGAATTCACTCTGAATTTTGTAAATATTAGATGAAACTGAATTTTTGTTCGACGAATGAATCAATTACTTAGCCGAGTTCATATACTTTAATTTTAGTAACAATATTGACCTGTAAGTCTGCAAAAAAGTGTCACTAAAAGTACACTCGGTAAGCGCAGGCGTAAGGTTAAGTGAATTATTTTCAATTAAAACTACATTTTTTGTTTAATATCAAGTATATTATATACAATGTTTTTTAAAGAATTTACCAACTGAAAGTAATATTAATACCATATAAATATGTGTATAATATATTTTTTCGTTCAACTAGAGTAACAATTAGCCGCTATACAAAACGAAATCTCTAACAAATCCAATATATTATATTAACTACTAAAAAACGTTTATTTCTTTACAGTAATCTCACTCAAACCCCATATAATGTCCATTAATTTTATCTCTGCTATGATATAAGCCTTACATAGATACTCCACATGCTCTTAGACGTCATTAGCACAAAGTTCCGGCGACAGCTCATCAACTCCTCTTAATAGACATAGCCATTGATATGCCAAAGTGCCATTATTACAACTAAGCGGTTAACGGTCACAATACCTATCGAACAAACAGACATTAACTTGACTTGACCCGCAATATTGCTTTAATTAGATCCCTTTAATGGTGCATTAAGAGAGATAATTGCACAGAGTACTTGTTAAGCTATAGAAATTAATCAATTTGATCGTGATTTTTCGTTAGCACCACTTTCATTGATTCTTAAATTTATTCCTATATAATATTATATAAACACGATTAGTAATACCTTTTTTCGTATTTAAGAGCACGTCGTTACCAATAGTTATATTTGCTTAAAAGATTGCAATAATTCACTTTTAATGAAACCTAATTGATGATATGCACCAATTAACGAAACATTCAGAGTGATTCATAATCTTAATGCAGAGTACAATGCATTATCATGATCAAAACGGACAATAACATGAATAAAATAGGGCTTTTTACTTTCACATTTCTTTACTGAAGTAATAAATAACTTATCAATAATAGCATATATCTGATGTAATGTATTTACCGCTTTGGAACCGGCTTTAGGAAACTGTTGAACCAGAACTTATTAACACAAATGTTAATTTAGCTTTTTTTAGATAACGATCTTTTTCAAGTTGATTATAAGACCAGGCTAATGTTTGTTATATTCATGTTGTTACTACAAAACCGACGAAGCGGAGGATTTAAGAGAAGAGAAGGCGAGACGATTTTGACTCATATAAATCATCTGAAAGACTGGACTACTGTTTTAATAAATCATGAGGTATAGGGAGAGAGAAGATATTTGTGATAGGTCCTGTTTAGGTAAAAATATTTTCTTTTTCCAGTCACCCGATGGCAACTGCAGATATCCAGTTTAAAATATAAAATTAGTTGCGTGCCTTAATACCGCCTGTTCACCATCTATCACTAATATCATTATATTTCTATGAAAGTCCTAATTTCTACGTAAACAAGTTTTATTTTATCTGCCATTAGCAAGGAAATGCATAGTGCTC